TGGAAAAATCAATGTTTTCCAGTTTCAATACGTAGTAATTCATAAAGTTATATGGGCATCTTCTACTAAATGATCTTTTAATACTTTCATTGTTATGATTTAACATATTGCAGAGGGTATTTTCTCTGCTGGACAATATTCAGGTAAGGAAACTTCTTAGAATTTCTGCTTAAAGGCAAACACGTGAATGCCTTTCTAATTGTTGGTGTGGCACTTCTGTTTGATGTGTTACTTTGAACTGTGACCTATATAAAGTCGCAAACCATAAGTTACCATTTGCAAGGAAAATCTACTAAAACCTTGTACTAAAACCTTTTGTACAAGCATACCTTATGTGAATTAATTAACTTTTGGTCAAGTTTATGCATGAACTATTTATTGACCATTTGCATGGACTATAACTGTTCCATATCTGTATTTTTCTAGTTCTGATTATTTTGCTCCTGTGTCATTTAGGATTAAATCTGCTAATGTTCTTTGTCCTAGTAATTGTATAAGGTCTCTTAGGAGGAGATATTGGTTTTTGTTCCACAATTTGATCTTTATACTCGTATTCTCATTCATAAGGCTTTGAATTTGTCTTGATTTCAGGCTTTGAGATGAATTCTTTCTACAATGTTCTTGTCAAGTGCAAGAATGCTCTAAATGCTTATTTGCGTTAATTCTTTGATCAGATGCTCACACATTTAATTTCTATTTGCATGATAAGTTTATACTGATTTCATGGAAGAAAATGATTGTTGCGAGTTGTGACTACTCTCAATCATTGCAGGAAGAACTTGAGTCTATAGTTCTCCAGACCTAGGTATTTTCCTTCTCTCTTTTTTGTTTGTTTGTTTGAATGTTTGCTTAGAAATCTGAGACTCATATCATTGCAAAATAAGGCACAGTTATGGTGTGGAAGATTGCCCATCATTTTTCCATTAAATTTTGTTTCTCACTTTCTTAGTTACCATGTCCTTCCTTAATTCCTTGTTGATGGAGATAATTAGTCCTTATACTTCACTCTCGGTTGGTGAGATGTGCGTATGTTGTGGGTTTACAGAACTTAATTTTGTCTTTCTGTAGGCAGGAACAGTTCTTGACACTGTGAAGAAGCTAGTGGAAGAACATAATTTGGATCCATTAATTTCAAAGGAAATACGCCCGCTCATGTCATTGAAACAACTTGTTTGGGGAGTTTCCCTCAGTTTGAAATGTAAATGCCAAATCTTTGAATGTCAACTTGCTTGTTATCATTCCAGTTTTATTAAAACTACTTTGAACCA